ATTCATAGGGTCATCTGTACCCCTAACTGGGCATCAGCTCCTGAGGCAGGGCCATTGTCCCATATTGAGCTCAGTTCCCAGGACATCACTCAAGGTTATTGAATACATGTTAACTGAATGGCTTTCCCCTTGGCTCCAAGAGGGAGGACTCCAGTTGGCTACAGCCAGGCTGTGTGGCCAGTTCCTCCCTCTTTCTGAGCCCCTTTCTCATGCTCTCTCCTTCCCACTCTTCCTTGGCAGCAACTGCAGGAGGATGTAGGCTTGGAAAACTGGAATGAAGTCACACTAGGGAGCTGGACACCTAGTCGGTTACATGAGCAGCTCAGGCTGGGTGTTACTCCTTCCTGCCAGCCCTGCTTGCAGAAGGATATATGTTCAGGAAACTTAGCCAGAAAGAAATTCAGTGAAAATGAGCTATGAAACTTGGATATCCTGGAGAAATAATATTTACAAAGGAAACTCTTGAGACGAACTCTCACCAGTGTAACAACCCTGGGGCTGGGGCTCAAGGCTGAGAACTGGCTCGTGTGCCAAGCGGCGCTGGCTCGTGCTCTGTGAGGCCTTCACACAGCCAGAAGGGGACTCCACAGATGGCAAAGTCACCTCGCTCACCCCGCAGCAAGATGAATGGGAACTATTTAAGGCAGAGAACAGAAATGAACTAGGAAATCGAGAACCTTATAAAAATCTTCCTAAGTGACAATGTGTCAGTGCAGGTCCATCAGTCATGAAAAATGCACCACTCTGGTGGGGAATGTTGACCGTGGTGGAGGCTATGCATTTGCGGGGCAGGGAGTATATGGGAAATCTCTGTACCGTCAGCTCTATTTTGCTGTGAACCTAACACTGCTCTGAAAGATAAAGTCTATTTTAAGAAAATATCTTATTTGATTGCCTCAAAGGATTTGCCCCTTGGGGTTTCTGTTGTACCTTTGATGTGTTCAATTAAATACTGACAAATGGAGATGCTCGATGGAAAAAAAGTCCCAGGGACTAACGTCATTCATGTGCTATGGCTACAAAAGGGTCATGGATGACCACCGCCATCTTGCACATGTCTGACCCTGAACACAAGGGAGTCTATTTGGGGAGTGAGTACAGCTTCATTTGGACAAATGTTTTATGAAAGGGAGGATAAAGCATGATGCTTGGAATGCTTAGACCTGGGTCATGGTTTTACCCCTGATTATAAGTATCACAATGGATAAATCATGCTGTCGCCAAGCATTAAGTCTTCTCACCTGTAGGACAGAGCAGTGCCACCTTCCTCCGGGGGAGGCTGTGAGGAGCGATGAAGTCACCTAAGCACAAAGAAAATGACAGTTAGTCATGGGCACTTCCCATGCCCTGGATCACCTCATCCTTATAACCCCATGAAGCAGGTTCTATCATTATAGATAAGGAAACAGAGATAAATACCATTCCCCAGGATCACACAGCTAACACCACAGCCAAGCCAGAATTTAAACCCATCCAGTTTGATTATGGAGCCTACACTCTAATTTGACACTATCTATACCAAGATAGAAACTTGGATGCTCGCTGCCTGGCACCTTACAGCTGCAATAAATGGTTATCCCCCTCTGATGGTCTCTCTTAAATATACAGGATTATGCTGAGAAATTGATAGCAAGCTCTCTGAAAACCATAAATGAAACCTCGGGGAATGTACTTAAATATTTTACTTTTTATTTATTTATTTAATATATATTTTATTGATTTTTTATAGAGAGGAAGGGAGAGGGATAGAGAGCGAGAAACATCGACAAGAGAGAAACATCAACCAGCTGCCTGCTGCACAACTCCTACTGGGGATGTGTCCACAACCAATGTACATGCTCTTGACCAGAATCGAATCTGGGACCTTTCAGTCCACAGACCGACGCTCAATCCACTGAGCCAAACCGGTTTTGTTTTAAATGCTTTATTGAGATTAAACTCACATACCATACAATTCACCCATTTAATGTGAACAATTCAGTTGTGTGTGTGTGTGTGTGTGTGTGTGTGTGTGTGTGTTTACATTCAGAGTATTCAACCATCTTCACAATCAATTTGAGAACATTTTTGTAACTTCAAAAAGAAGCCTTTTACCTCCTAACTATAATTCTCCCTTCTCTCTCCCCACTCCCCTCCCCAGTCCCTGGCTACCACTATCTACTTCCTGTTTCTATGGGTTTCCCTATTCTGGACATCTCATTCACATGGACTCACAATATCTGTGGTCCTTTGTGACTGGCTTCTTTCATTTAGCATGTTTTCAAGGGTCATCCACATTGTGGCATACATCAGTACTTTGTTCCTTTTTATTGCCAATAATATCCTATTGTATACAGTATTGCTATCAACCATATTTACTTGCTTCGTAAACTGTTAGAGCTAGACAAACCGTAGAGACTGAATCCATATACCTCTCATTTTACGGGTAAGGAGACTGTGGCCTACAGGTTAAATAGCTTGGCCAAGGTCACACAGAGGGTGGGTGGTAAAAGCCTTGAGCCTCACAACTCTCAAGTCCCGTCTTACTTCACTCTACAAGGTGTTGTTGGAAACATAATTCAAAGCTCACTGCTTATTGGTGATGGGCCAGCAGAGTCATCTCTGCAAATATTAGCAAAATATTATTCATTAGACAAATATATACTGTCTGTCCCCTGAGGGCATGGCACTGCCGGAGGTGCTGGAGACCTAGTTGGGAACGGGACAGACAAGAGCCCTGCCCTTTCTCCCATACAAGATGTCTGCACATTCTCCTGGGGAGGTAGAAATAAATGAGCAACCCTCCAAGTAATTTTTAAAAATTGTACTTTGTATGAAGTGACATGAAAAAAACAACAACAAGGGGCAGAAAAAGATGATGATGTGGGGACCAAGTTGACAGTGGCAGAAATAGTGAGGTTGGGGCTGGGAAGGGTATCATGGAGTGTCATAGGGTATTTGGGTGGGAAAGCCCTCTCTGAGGAGAGGGTGTTAGGCTGAAGCCTGGGAGAGGAGAAGGACCAACTTTATGAGAATTAGGGCGCAGAAGGTGGCAGAGGGTAGAGCACTGCAGAGACCCTGAAGGGGCAAGGAGCGGGGTGTGTTGAAGGAGTTGATGGATGAAGCGAGAGGTGTGATCTGAAGCTAGAACAGGGAGGGCCCAGGTCACAGTGGAGACCCTTCGGCCTGTTCTCTCAGAGCTAACTGAAGTGAGGAGGGCCTGAGGGAAAGAAGGCCGGTGGCTTCCATTTTCGTTCTTATGAATTAGATAAACTACATTTATAGGAGGCTCTGTAGCAAAGACTTCCAGGGACAAGAAAGTTGCATCTTCAATACGGTAATGTAACTACTAGGTATCCCCCTTGAAGTGGAAACAGAGGGACATGAGAAAATACAGGCATGTTAATAGGGATGTGGTTAAATAGTTGTGGTATAGCCTTCAGTACTGAAATGAAAAGATTTTCAATTAGTTGTTAAGCCGGAAATCAACCAACCAACCAGCCAAACAAAAACCCAACCTGCAGAACTGTGCGTCTAGTATCTTACCATTTGAGAAAAAAAAAAAAAAAAAGGCAGGAGATATAAGACATGTATTTGCTCATATATGCACCAAATTTGAGTAGAAGGATTCACCTCAAATATATCTAGGAGGGGTTTCCTGGTTGCCTTTGTCGCCCCAGGAGAAGGTTCTGGAAGGAGGGACAAGGGTCTCATCTGTCCTGTTTGCTGCTGTATCCCCATTGGTTGCAAATAGGAGGCTAGGACGGGGTGAGGGAGACTTTTCACGGTCTCCCCGTATATTGTTTCCAGATTTGAAACATGGGAATATAATTCTTATTCAAAGAAATTAAACAAAAAGGGAAAATAAGGAAAAGGTGGTGAGAGGTCTACATGGGCCAACCAAAGCCCTGTCTTTCTCCAGCTCCCCCTGCCCCTTGGCTTCTGACAAAGCTGAGCCTCCGAGAGGCCAGCTCATCCTCTGGTGCAACCACTGAGTGCTCACTGATTCTTGGTCTAGACTCCACCCCTAGTCATAACGATGGTTTTGATGACCAAAGAATTTTCCAGAAGAGTCTAAATTTAATTCTGATTCCCCATCACAGCCACCATGGGCAAATGAATGATTATCAGATGACATTGGACTCCATCTAGGTACCCAGCAGTGGGCAGTTGGTATAAATGGGGAGAGAGTAACTCAGGGCAATTCACATCCTTGCCCTCAACCTCGGCACTAGTGACTTTTGGGGGCTGAATAATTCCTTATTGTGAAGGGCTTCCCTGTGCATTGTGGGATGCTGCTAAACTTCTGCCTTCTGGGTGCTAATAGTACTATCCCACTCCAGGTGGGACAACCAAAAAAGTCTCTACACATGGCCAAATGTCCCCCGCCCCTAATAACAAAAGTAAGAACCAATGTTTTGTGTCCCTGCAATTCCAGGTAAGTGGGTTATTCTCCCAATGAGAAGCCAGGGTTTCCCTCTGCCTCTATCCTGTTAGATTGCCTCAGAAGATGAGGGGTTGACTCAACCTGTCCACAAGCATCTCCCATTCCTAGAAGGCCCAGGCTGTAAAAAGAAACACCCCCAAAGCAGGTTGACGACTGAGGCAGAACACACTCAGGCTGCCCAGTTGCCCACGCTACAGCACCCCACATCACTGGGACCAGGAGCCCAGGGAGTGAATGGGGCTTCCTCCCGTGGTTACCTCCCTCCAGGTGACACAGAGAGAGAACGGAGGGAGGCTCCGTGAAAAGAGCACCCCAGGGGATTTTGTAACAAATGGGGATGGGTGGGCACCCCGGCTCCATCTCTCCTCTCAAGAGCATGATTCCCAGTGGACAGCTTTCTTTGGAGGGCAAAGAAAAAGGAACTGTATTTCTATGTTTTGATTAATCTGAGGCTCATCCTTGAGGCTCTGAAATGAATGAGCAGAATTTTCCATGGCTAACTGTCCTGGCCGCCGGGCCCTGCTGGCAAAGGCCTCGTGTTTATTTACTTTTGCCCGTGTTGTTTTTATTCCAGTTCAGCTGCAGCTCAGTGCGGAGAGCGTGGGGGAGGTGTATATAAAGAGCACCGAGAGTGGCCAGTACTTGGCCATGGACTCCGACGGGCTTCTGTACGGCTCAGTAAGTATGAGGCTGACACGCTTCCAGACGCGGCCACGGTTTGAGGTTTCCAGAAATCTTGTCATGTTGAGTGATACACACTATAAAGCAACAATTAGCCTCTGTTTGTTATTTTTTTCCCCCCCAGTGGGATTCCCGCCCTCTACCCTGCCTTTATTTTAGGCACAAACATAAAAGAGTGTCTTGTGGTATTCTCTCAAAATACTCATACGTATTATCACATAGGGGAGACATTGATTGAAATGTTGGTAAGTTATCCATCGCACATCCCAGAATACCTAGCTCTGCTTCACTCACGCATTCCAGAAATCTTTTTTGAGCCCCTGCTACATGTGATAGGTGTGTCCCCTGTGCTTTTTATAAGAACTGCAGAGCCCAGAGCCTAGTAGTGAACATGTCACGCACAGCACTAGGAAAGGGTCTCCTGAATAAAACATGTAATAGCCCAATTGTGCAAACATTTATCAAATGCCTCCTGTGTCAAAGTACAGTTAGAGACCAACAGGGAGGTGAAGGTGAATGAACCACATCCCTGCCCTGGAGAGGCACAAAGACTTTATTCAGTAGCTAACATCCTCTGCATCACCCTCTCCAGCCCTCTTCTGGTGAGTGCTTTATATAGGTTTGACTCTGTTAATGGTGGTCTTTGTGAGAAAGGAACAGAAACAGAGGAAATCTGATTCTCTCTCTCTCTCTCTCTCTCTCTCTCTCTCTCTCTCTCTCTCTCTCTCTCTCTCTCTCTCTCCTTACTGGTGTCTCTGGTTAAAAAAAAAAAAAAAAAAAAAAGATGAGAAAGAGAGCTGAAGCCAATGGCCCCAGGTCTTGAAATTATTTCTGGGTTTCAATGACCCTTTCTCTGTATCTTAACAACTGATAATTAAGGCTTGGCTGTAACTCACAGCCCAAGCCAAACTCCTTTCTTCCTTTTTAGTAAGATGCATGTCTACAGGAAGGCAGCGGGAGGGTGGGTGGTGGTGGTGGTGGTGATGTGTGTGTGGGGGGGTGTAGTCTGGGGCTCCCTTGAACTTATAATGAATTATCAAGAGGCAGTGGGCACAGGAAACCCTCTCTGAAACCATCATCAGCTAGAATTTGGGATGTGAACAAAGTTCAGCTTTTTTCATGCTCACCACTAGAGTCGGGAGATGGGATCATCAGTTACAGGTAGCCTCTACTAGGTTGTTGACTGAAATACAGACCAAGTGGGACAACTTTAAAGGGTTTGGAGCCAGGCAGTGGCTGCTACATAGGGAGTAAGTGGTGTGTGTTTTAAGGTAGTTCTTTCAATTGGTAATAAAATCAATTGGCCAATCAGTCATTCACTCGCAGGCTCATAATTGAATCTCATGCCTCTGCCACTTTGGCAAATTACTCCCCTTTTGAGCCTTGTCTAAGATGAGGACAGTAATGGACAGTACTGACCCGCATATAGTGTTTTTTATAAGTACTGTAGTACTTATAAAAAACAAAACACAGAATGACAATGAACAGACCCGCCCAACAGCATGGCTGGCTCACGAGAGACACTCCATCAACAGTGGCTATGAAACATTCAGTTTACACATCCCTTGCCCTCATTATTTCATAGGATATATGTTAGTTTTATAGGTTTTTCCTCCATTAAATGTTTTGAAGTTTATAACTTCCTTTACTCATATAAAAATATTGGGGGAGACTCCTCAAATCTGATTTTCTCTAGGCTCCAAAAACCCTCTATCCCCCAACCCCCATCATAATTTGCCTAAGATATTCAGACGGTGATCTTAATATATGAGGCCTCAACGTTTTTATATTTCCCATTCATAAGGACAGGTTCTAACATATCTCAGACCTCTACCTCATACTCTTAACCGATTTTTGGCATCAGTCCATCCTGGTACAAATTTATGTGTACGTGAAAAGGACATATTTATTTTTAAAAGTAATTTCAAGAGGCTATAACCCAAAACATTCATTCACTTATCTCTGGAGGTGGTAAAAGGCTAACTTTATAATATGTGAATATTATATGTTATCTAAATTCTCTCCAGTGGGTACATGTCACCTTTGTAATTGGGAGGCGAGCATGCTAAATATAAAAAAGGAAATAACGAAAACTATTGCCATGAATCAGCTGTCACTCCCCAGGCCCTTGGCGTTGCTCCAGATGCATGAGAGCTGACAAATCCTGTGTAGTGGCCAGAGACAGCACCTCCGATTTGCCCTGCTGACTCAGCCTCTGACTCAGCCTTTCTCTGTGTGTGTGTCTACTGCTATGGTGGAATAGAGACATCAGGTGTGGGGTGTGGCCGTCCTCTGCTTTGTCACAGAACAGGGGCCTTATGCCCACTGAGAGGTGTCATGGGCTGAGTCCTCCCTACATGGGGGAGTGGGCAACCCACACAGGTCCCAAACTGCCAACCTCCTCCCACCCCTGACATTGTGCATCAAACACCAATGTCTGGGTAAGTTCCTTTAGAGGCATCAGAGTCACCCAATGAACTATACCTTGCTCTAAAGTGATCCAGTGTCTCACCCCATTGTCACCGCTCTAGACTTCAGATGAATAAGCAGCAGCGGGCTTCCTGTGACAGAGTTCCTTGCTAATCAAAGATAACCTCTCTGAGGCCTCTACCTGATCTCAGGAGTCCCATTCAAGGCACCACCTCGTTGGCGAGCACCCATCACTTGCAAAGTTCTGTGTCTGGCTGTAGACAGAGGGCTGACAAGGTCCCTTCTCTTCCCTCAGGAAGGCTCACAATCTCACAGGCAAACGTACCCACAAAGAGAGAACACTACACAACAGAAAGGGGCTCCCCAACCACTGTGGGTGAAGAGATACTATAGAGACCCTGCGACTTGAAATTGGCGCCAAGTCGATATACAGCATAAGTGTTTTAGTGCACCTAACTGGTTTCTATCCAAATATAATGAATGTTTTCTACAATCCTGACAAATAGGAAGTTCGAATAACTAGGGTTCCTCCCACTCTCTAACAGATGCATCCCAAGTGAAAAAGTAATTATTGATAATAAATGACCTATTGAATATCTTGGAACTCTTTTCCACCTTAATAAATTTACAACTGAATTGGATCCCACAGTACGTATATACTACTACCTACTTAGCCAATCACCTTTCTGTGCATATTTAGGTTGCTTCCAATTTGTTACCATTATATCCAATGAACAGCCTTGAAAATATAGTTTTACACTTGCTAACTATCTCCTAACTGTTCTGAGGAGTGAAATTGCTGGGTCAAAGGTAGTGCATATTTAAACCTTTGATTCACATTTTCTGACTATAATACTTTCAGCAAGCCTCCACCAATGAGTCTCACCAACAGCGCAGGCGAGTGTGTGTTTCCTACACTCTCACCAATACTCAGACTTATCTTTGCAGATATCATTGCCAGCATGTTAAATCATTTTTTTAAATTTGCGTTTTCTTGCTGGTGAGATTGAATGTTTTCATAGGCTTATTGCCAGTTTTTGAAACAGCAGACATAGTGTGCCATTTTGATAGCATCGTAAGTCTATAGCCACCCAGACTTATCTACTCTGTGTGGATGTACATAAGGACGCAAGGAAGGATGCTTATCGCCTGTTAACCCTTGTCTCTATTTGGGTGGTGGGCTTTGGGCCGTTGTTTTTTTTGTTTTTCTTTTAAGTAAAAAAAAAAAAAAAAAAACCAACAAATTTTTAAAATCTTTATTGTTGGAAGTATTACATATGTCCCCCTTCCCCCCACATTGACCTCTCCCATCCTGTCCCCACTCCCACTCCAGGCCTTCACTGTCTGTGTCCATGGGTTCTGCATATATGCATATGAGTTCATTGGTTGATCTCTTCTCCTCCACCTCCCCTGAAGTATTATAAAATTTTAAGTTTTAAAAAGTACAATTCTCTTTATAAATATTATAAGATAAAGCTATTTTCATTAAAACACACACACACACACACACACACACACACACACACGTTAGGTCTCAGGATAGATTTTGGGCTTAGGGCACATTTTGCGCACGCATTGATGGTCTTCACAACACAAGGGTACTATCCCGCTATGGTTAATGAAAATCACCAGGATGAAAATAATATTAGCAGTCTTTCAGTTATTCTTTAAGTTCAAACTTAACAGCCCTCACTGCATCAGCGTCTGCTTTTACCTGTTTGGGACATTTTTCATGGCCATGCCTATCCATATGCCAGGCCTCTACAGAAACAAAAGCCCAGCCCCCTCCCCATTTGGGGTGCCTACAGCCATTCAGGATCTCCCCAGGGGCAGACTATAGGGTCCTGAGGACAACAAAAGGCAGGGGACCTTCCAATAACAGCAGGTGTGCATTGAAGGCTCTTTAGGTGCTGGGTCCTGTCTTAAGTCCTCATTACCCGTCCCCAAAGATAGGCTCCATTATTACCCCAATGTTTCTGAAGAAGAACCAGAGGCCCAGAGAGCCTGGGTAATTTGCCCAAGGGCACACAGCCTTAAGCAGAGGAACCCTGCCTAGAACCGCTCCCTAACCATCTCCTCTCTTTCGGTTGCATCTTTGTAGCAAACGCCCAGTGAGGAATGCCTGTTCCTGGAAAGGCTGGAGGAGAACCATTACAACACCTACGCGTCCAAGAAGCACGCCGAGAAGAATTGGTTCGTCGGGCTCAAGAAGAACGGAAGCTGCAAGCGAGGTCCTCGGACTCACTATGGCCAGAAAGCAATCTTGTTTCTCCCCCTGCCGGTCTCCTCTGATTAAAGTGGTCTGCTCTGGGCGCTGACCACTCCAGAGGAGCCTGAAGGGGTCCTCACCAGCTGACCCCAGATTGTTCCCTTGACCATTGGCTGCGCTAACCCCTCCTGGCCCACAGAGCCTGACTTTTAAGCAACGCGCTTCTAAAATGCCCCGTTCGTTTTCCTGCAGAGCCCTTTATCCCCAACCAGTTTGGAACAGAGGGGACCAAATTGCTTCTAGGGGCCAATCGGCTGGCCAGGCTGGGTCTGGTTTGGAGGTCCACTGGCCTCTGGGCACCTGCTGCAGGCTGAGCCTCTCAAGGCAAAGGTGGGGCCAAAAGAAGTGTGTTCAGGGGGCTGCCGAGCAGGTCCTTTGGTAGCTGCATCCGGTTCCCTCCACCGAGTAAACCCTGTCCACAGCAGTTCCCTCAAACAGCGGGCAGGGCTCCCTTCCACCCTTTCGATCCCCCATGAATATTAGAGAGCAGCTGCTGGCTAGGTTAGAGGAAGGCAGCGCCCCTTGAGTAGAAATAGGGATGAAGAAGTCCTTTCAGGAGAACAGGAAGGATTGGACTGGCGAGGGAAGACTGCGTGCAGGTGGACGGCTGAGGAGGAAGGGATCTCAGTGCAGAATCGATGAAGGATGGGGGCTCAGGCACGGGAAAGCCAATGAACGCGGCGCCTTGAAAGCCCTGATGAAGCCCTGACTTTCCGAAGGTGATTAGGTGACAGGGAGCCTCTGGGGGATGTCAGTTGGCCAGCAGGAGAAGTGGGTTCTTGATTCAAGGGCATCAGATGTTGGGAAATTCATTTAGGTCCTGGGAATGGGTGTGGGAGTGATAAGAAAGAAAGGGAAACGAGGCCGAGGGGTGGTTGTCCTCTGAAGAGGATGATTCTAGAAGTGAGAAAGAAAGAGAAAGGGATGCCAGGAGGTGTGCTTGGCCACCTGGAGGCAGAGGCTTTGGGGTCCCAGGGCAGTGCTCACACACCCTATGGGGGAGCTTGTTTGAATGTAGATTCTGGTTGAATGGGACTGAGGTGCAGTTTTGGCATTTCTAACAAGCTCCAGGTGCCTCGATGCTGCTGCAGACGCCCACCATACGTTGAGTTGTGGTCCTGGAAGAATGTCAGTCAAATGAAGGTGGCTCCACCTTCCCAACCCGGCCCCCTCTCCTCATCCTTAAAAACACTGCAGCATTCAGGCACATCAACGCAGTTGTGAAGGAGCAGGTATTTAAGGCGCTTTGGCCCATTGCCTATAAAATGCCCATTTAGAAGATAAACAAAAGCATCCTTCAAAAATGTTAAACCCGCACCAACAGCTTTTCCCAAGAGACCATTTGTGTGACCATTACTTGTATAAATATGCTTCCTGCTTAAAGTAAACCTGACCCAAGTGGCTAGCAAATTAGAAACACCATTCATCTTTGACATATGATACCGTTGCCCTGTTAATGCCTTTAATAAGCCATTTAAATTTACTGTGAGACTGTACGTTTTAATCACATTTAAAAATATATAGCGCAAAGGCAGTTAAACTGCTTAGCATCCAGCCATTGAGAACGACAATAATAATAGGATATGATGTATAAGCTACTCAGTTATCTACCACTTATACTCCATTTACCTGTACAGTGAGGTTTTCCTTTATTTCCCACCGTGCTGTTAGATATTTTTCTTTGAAAAATGGGAATTTCTTAAGCAACGATGTGGCAATTGTGAATGGAAACTGATGCAAGTGTTAGCTCATGTTTTATAAGGAATGGAAGGGATTATTAATTGGAAAACAACTCCGTCATATGGGGAATGGAAGAAAAAATGACAAATTGTGAAGGTTCGAAGCAGCAGTGGAATTGAGAACTGAACCGGGTTAAAACGATTGTGAATAATACCATCCTACGTTTGTGTCTACAGCAAAACGATTGTGTAATTTTTTATTTTTATTTTTTGTAACTTGGATAAGACGATTCCATTTCATATTAGTAAATCTTTGCAGGCAAGTTGGGGATAGCACAGTGTGGCTTAACATCTATTTACTATGAAGATTTGGCCAGAAAAAAGATACTCAGAGAGGAAATCCAAGATATTTATAATGGTCCATAACTTCTAATATGTGAATCAAATTCAAGTGTAACATTGGCCAAGAAAATGTAAATGCTGTTGCTAACAGGTGAGGCAGATGGGCGTGGTTTCAGAGACCCACAGCATTGTAGAAAAAACACTACTGTGACCTCGACACCCCCAGACCAGTCATCACTCGTGTATCCGTTCAATGAACACTTAAGTGCCACTGTGTGCCTGGCACTGTACAGGGTATTGAGGTCTCAAAGCACCCTGTCTGCCTGGCTTGATGCTGTGTTCTTTCCAGGGCATTAGATATATGATGAAAGATGCTGTGGGTTCATTTCCACCCATCAAGTAAAAACAGACTTTTGTAGGATCCTGCTGAATAAACAGTTAGTCCCAGAAACCCAGGTTTGGGAAGAATTAGCAACCCCCAGCATAAGATAAGCCCCTATCAGTATCAGAAGACATGGCAAGGTCAACCTAACATTTGCACCTGAAGAACCATGTCAGGCAAAGAGCCTGGCAGATCTGGTAGGAAGTGAGTGGTTAGCAGTCCCCCACTTCCTCTGAACATGCTCTAGTTCCTTAGACATGGAGTATCCCTGCTGCTCTCTCTCTTCCTGGAGTCAGTTTTGTGGCCCTCTGCCTGTCACGTGCCTCTTGTGTGGGTTCACCCTCATGCCAACTGTTACGAATTGCCTGGCATTCTGTACAAAGCATCAGGAGTGTGTGTGCTCGGGGTTGTTTGGTGCTGGTGGAGGTGGTGGTGATCTGTTTTCTTGGAATGGATGATAGCCAAGCCTCCTATGGCCAACAGTGTGCACTTACAACAACTAGCCAGAGCGCCTTGTATTACTGAAGATCAGGTACTTGCTCTGCATGGGAGGTGATGGAGCCCAAGCCCTCAGTCTTGTAGAACACGATGCCGAGGCCATCCTGGGCTGCAAAGCAGACCTCTGATGAAGAAGATGCCTGTCATTTTACATCACTGTCTCTCTTTTTTTTTCCACCTTACAAGTATTAATAAATATTCTAAGAGGTGATAATGTCTATGAGTTTCTCTGCATCACGGTGGGACTTCGGAAGGACTTCCCTGGCAACCCTGAGGTATGGCTGCTCTTTCATCAGAAACTTTAAGGCTGATAGGAAAAGGTAAGGCAGCAACGGTTTTCATTTTGTTTGGAAACCTAAGGAAATATTGGTGAGTTCCTAGGAACCCAAAAGAGAAATATATTCAGAAAATTTGCCCCCTGAAGAGCCAAGCACCGTAAGTAACTCAGCTGACACTTGAGCTTCATAATATAAATCATGCAAAATTATGCTCCTACTTATTGTAGAGTTGACCGGCTTATGCTTAGGCAAAGGTACTGTCACCTGAAAAAGATTCAAGGTCATATCTACAATTTTAATTCAATGGTCAGAGACGCACCTCTTACATCTCAAGAGTCTTGATGTGAAATCATCGATTTTTCCAGCAGATTTTCTGAAATTATCATGCTAAGCAATGTCTCCTTAAACTTCTGAATCATATAATTCCTTATTCTTAGCAGAAAGTTCAGTGGCCTAAACATCATGGCAGAATCATATCATGCACATGCACACTCACTCACATGTATATACATGCACATAAACACTTGCACTTCCACATGTGCACATGTACCCATACGCACACATGCATGTGAACCAATAAAAGAAAGGTGAGCAGCCCTAGCCGGATTGGCTAAGTGGGTAAGAGCCTTGGCCCATGGACTGAAGGACTCCCGGGTTCGATTCCAGTCAAAGGCATGTACCTTGGTTACAGGCTTGTTCCCCTGCCCTCGTTGGGGTGCATGTGGGAGGCAACCAATTGATGTGTCTCTCTGACACTGATGTTTTTCTCTGTCTCTCCCCTTCCCTTCTACTCTCTCTAAAAATCAATGGAAAGCCGGGACCGGTTTGGCTCAATGGATAGAGCGTCGGCTTGGGGACTGATGGGTCCCGGGTTTGATTCTGGTCAAGGGCATGTACCTTGGTTGCTGGCATATCCCCAGTAGGGGGTGTGCAAGAGGCAGCTGATCGATGACTCTCTCTCATCGATGTTTCTAACTCTATCTCTCTCCCTTTCTCTCTGTATAAAATCAATAAAAAATACATTAAAAATAATAATAATAAAAAATAAAAATCAATGGAAAAATATCCTCAGGTGAGGATTAACAACAACAAAAGATGAGCAGTGTTTGCTCACTCTGCTAATTACACACCACAATCAATCCCTCTGTTTCTTTTTCAAGTTGCCTACAGCAATATTTTTCTCCCTTTTAGAGCTTGATCCACACTAAGAATGACATTTTCCATCACAACCCAGCACATACATACTCTTGTACATACTTACAACTGAAACAAAAAAATGTCACAAATCTACATATATGAGATGCACTCACATTTTTCTATTACATTCCACTAAAATATGCTGGTCAAGATCCATTAAATTGGGACACAACAGTTTGGGCCACATTGAAAGTTTGAAACGTGGCTTAAAGTAAACATGCTCCTTCCCAAAGACAACGAGACTCAATTAGAATCCTATGCGATGATGTTAGTGTTTTCAAAGACACAGTTTGATCTTGAAGAAACAAGACAAGGAAACATCCTGCTACCCAGAAACCATCTGTCCTAGCGGTTCGGTGAATTCTCTTAGCTGGTTTGCTGCGAATCAAGCAAAATGAATGCACTGTCGCAGATTCCACAGATACTGCTTCTGCCTCTACTGCTGGTCCTGGCAGATTTCTGCTCTCACAGCCCTGGGGACTTCAACTCTCCTTTGGAGAATTGTCATCACTTTGGGCCATTCCCTCACTAACTCCCACAACCTTCACGTCATTTCTTCGTTCTCCCCCAAAATTCCTACTTCACAACCATCTATATAATAAAAGCCCAGAACAATGAGAATGACTGGTCACTATGATGCACACTGACCAC